TTTGTACACGTTGGTGATTAATTGGATGAAAAAGGATTTATAATAACAGCACCATATTTATGGAACGGGAGATTAGTTTCACAAATTGATTGTGGAGCCCATTATTCATATGGACTTTATTGTCTTCCTTATGGACTATAGGGCCCTGATTTACTAAGAATGGAGTCTACCAGCAGACTCTGGACATTCAGGCAGACTCAATTAAATCAATGAAGACCTGTCAGTCTTCTGAGAGGCGTCTAGCAATCTCATTGAGAAGCGTCTACTTTCCTGTTAGTAAATGTGGAATCGTATCTGGCACCTTTTTAGGTGCAATGCCGGATATGTTCGGTAGGTGGCGCACAAGCGTGGGCTTTGTCCCGTTGGCGTTTTTCTGTTTGCATATGAGAATACTTAGAATGTAAAATAAAAAGTACACCTATATTATAATTTTTTTTCTTTTTTTGCTGTTTCTCCAAAATGATCAGACAACTAATGCATTTCCTAATGAATGTCATACATTCTATTTTCAAATGTTAAACATTTTCACACTTATATCTCAAATAATTTGGAATATCTAGTTCTAAGTTCCCAATATAATGATACAGCTTCCTTCTCTTTAATCATGTAACTATTCTATGTTAAAGTAATAGTGCAATGCTATAAATGCATGTTATCAATCATACATGCATGTAAAAACCAGATCCTGCCCCCCCCAAGTGAATAAGTATGCGGTACATGGTACCGCTACTCATTCACAAAAAAAGCAAAAGTGGCATTGCCTTTCATGAGTTCATGCACTACTGTTCGTCACGGATAAACCACACGTGCCATTCATAGGGACTCTCTGAGTTGGTACTCTCACACGAAGGACATTCCATTATTCAGGAATGGTTAGCTGAACTTTTTTCTAGCACCATTTAACAGTTTACATCATTCTTGCACTTTTCGGATTTTACATGCGTTTATGATTGATAACGTGCATTTATAGCACTGCACTATTACTTTAACATATTTCTATTCTGGGACTTTTGCCAATACCCTGAGTGCTAGCTGCTACGTTCATATCTATACCTAGATTTATATTTATCTTGCCTAATACCATTTTAGTAGTCTATATAATTTGACCAGTGCTTGCTTTATCATTTTTAAACAATGTAACTATTCTACATTGAAGGTCAAACTCTGTCTCCCACAGTGGCTTAGTGGTTAGAACTCAGAACTTAAAGCACTTGGGTCATGGGTTCTGTCACGGAGCTGGTCCTTCCCCCTTCCCCATACTCCAGGTTTGCTGGCTGCCACCTCCAACCCCTCAGCAGCCCCTCACTCTTCTGTTCCGTCCATGCTGGGACTTCTAGTCCTCAGTTTCCCTGACACAGGCAGCCTTTAGCAGCCCCTCACCCCCCTGGCTTGCAGTTTGACCTCCTGCTGAAGGAATCCATAAACAGGCCCCCTCCTCCCTTCCCCCTCATGCACAAATTCCTGAGCTCCTGGGCAGGTCTGGAGACCTGGGAGACAGGGCCCGTTGCCATGGTAACCCGACAGGAAATCTTCGGTTACCAACAAGGCACATAGCTCTCTACTTAAGAGAGAGGAAGGAAACCCCCGTGTGTTCTCCTGGCTGCGTGTGTGAGGGAAGGCTGTGCTGAGGGCCAGCTTCTCTCATCCGACTATTCCCCAACCATCCCCCGTCCTCCTCCTCATCTCCTGGACTGTCTGTGCTGCCTGGAATCCCTGCACTGTGGAGGAATCTTCTGCTGTCCCCGTGAATCTGCCTGGATCTATCCCCTGCCTGGACTTAACCCCTTGTTCTCCGTGAACCTGCCTGGACTTAACCCATCCCTGCCTGGAGCCTCCTGTGTGGATTACAATACCCCTGTTGTTCCATATTGCCTTCCAGAGAACTGTACTGTGTTGCTGTGTCTGGTGTGGAGCTATGGACTAAAGGAACTGTTGTCTGTGCCCCAAAAACCTCCCCAATAAAAACACGTTGGGTTCTGTGCAATCTGCCTCTGTGTGCTCTCCGGTTCTCTTGACAACTGGTTGGCAGCGGTGGGACGAGAGCACTCGAGATGGCAGATGAGAGTCTGCATACCATGGAAGTGGAGGCCCCAGAATATCAACACTAGTTGGTAACCAGCTTACAAGAAAAGGCCAGAAATTTGGGCCTCAACTACAAGGGACTTAACAAAGATCAGCTGGTCCGGATGCTGGAGGAAGCCAGCCAACAGCAACGGGAAGATGCGGGCACAGACAGGAGCCAAGCGGTCCTGAGAGAAGATGGACCAGAGCTTCAAAGCACAAGTGGCAAGAGCCCTTGGGTCATCTGGTATGAGGAAGAGATGGCCATTCTGGGGAAGGATGCCACCCTAGATAGAAAGATGGCAGCCATTGAAAAGGCTCAAAAGAGACAAACAGAGTGGGAAGCTGCAAAGAATCAAGCAGCTGCTCCTGTGGCTGTCCCTGTGGCACGGGGGGGCCCAGAGAATATCCAGGAAGGACTTTAAGCCCTACCAAGAGCACACCGGAGATGTGGATGGGTTCTTCCAAGACTTTGAATACCAGTGCGAACTACTGGAGGTCCCACCCACAGACTGGACTCGCCATGTGGTAGGGCTGCTTGACGGAGGGGCTGCTGAAGCCTACCGAATGATGGACCCCCTTAAGAGACGGAACTATGAGGAGATAAAAAGAGCCATACTGGACTACTACGCTCGGTCTCATCGGAGTCATATCGGGCCCAGTTCCGGACTACCCACCGCCTCCCAGGGGCCTCCTTCAAAATGTTTGCGCACAAATTGTCGGTAGCCTGCCGCCGTTGGCTGGAAGGGGAGAAGGCAACCTCCCCTGAGCAGATCATCCAGGCCATCCTGAAGGAACAATTCCTTTTCAAGTGCCCCCCCGAGATCCGACAGTGGGTGCGGGAGCAGAAACCTGCCACACTGGAAGAAGCTGCAGCCTTAGCGGCTGAGGCTCTCCTCATTAACCCGCAATGGAAGAAGAAGCCCGCGACCGAGGCACCCCAAGCGGCCAGGATGCCCCATCCTACACCGGTGCCCTACACGCCTCCCCATCGCCGGATGGCCCACAAACATTGCCAGTGCTACGGCCCTTACTACCACCTCATTCAGCCACCTCACAACGGGGCCCCAGACCGTCCTTAGATAGGCGGTGCTTTGGCTGTGGACAGATTGGTCACTACCAGGCCAGCTGCACCAAAAAACAGACTCTCGGGCCTAGCTAGCTTGCCCCGGCCAGTGAATTCTGTGGATCTGTACCAAGCTTTCGAGGACTTGCCACCACCCCCTTCAGACTGGGATCTCGCTCCCGCAGACAAGGGCACCCCCCCCAGGAGTCTTTGGCCTACAGCCGGTGGGGGCCTCTACCCAAAGCCTCCAAGGAAAGCACTTGCAAGAGGTCACTGTGGATGGACAAAAGGTGGTGGGCTTCCGAGACTCAGGGGCCTTCCTCACCATTGTGGACCCCTGAGTGGTGCACCCTGACGCTGTACAGCCTGGCCCTGGGATAGTGATTCAACTAGCAGGGGGCACCAAATGCTTTATCCCTCTTGCTACTGTCAATCTGGACTATGGCTTGGGGCCTAAATGCTGCAATGTGGGGGTCATGGGAGGACTGCTTGGAGATGTGCTTCTTGGGAATGATGTGGGCGATCTTCAATGCCACTTTGTGGGAGCCGTCACATGAAGTCAGGCCTGCCAGGAAACCGCTGAGAGGAAGGAGTCACCCCAGCATGTGGACGGACCTCCACTGCTCGCAGTGAGTGACTCAACTCTGACTGCTGACAATACTGGGGTGACATGGGACCAGGACAAGTTTCAAGGGGACTTAGCTACCGACCCTACTCTGACAAGTTTCTGTGCCCAAGCAGGGCTGACTGGTCCGGGGACCGGCGAAAGGATAGTGCAGGAAATGGGTTGCTGTACCGAGTGGTGGAGACCGACGCCAAAGGGGGGCCCCAGACCATGGCTAAACAGCTGATAGTTCCCCAACAATTCTGGACCCAACTGCTACACCTTGCACATGATATTCCCATGGCTGGGCATCAGGGAAAGCTACGGACCGAAAGGAGGTTGGCCCAGCCCTTCTATTGGCCTGGGATGTCCCAATCGATAGCTCGCTACTGCCGTACCTGCGATACCTGTCAGCGACAAGAAGAACAGGTGGCCTGCGGGCCCCCCTACAGCCCCTACCCATTATTGAGGAGCCATTTCAATGAGTAGCTATTGACATTTTGGGCCCCTTATCTCGCCCCAGCAAATCTCGAAATCAAAATTGTCCTGGAGGTAATGAACCTCGGAGTTGGGTAATGAGATATTTAAGGCAACCATTTTAAAAGAGTTAATCGTAAGACCAGAGGCCTCAGAGAAACGATCAAACAGGTGGAGGAAACCAGGTAAAGACGTTCGAGGATTAGATATATACATAAGAACATCATCCGCGAATAAGGCGCATTTATGATCCCGTTGACCACAGCGGACGCCCGAGATGGTGGGATCAGAGCGGATAGCAATCGCAAGTGGTTCCATTGCCAAAGCAAACAGTAATGGAGAAAGAGGACATCCCTGTGTAGTTCCTCGTTCTATCAAAAACTAGGCTGATTTATATCCACGAATGGAAACTTGAGCAGACGGATTAGAATATAGTGCCCGTAATAGCGTCGTAAAATAAGGGCCAAACCCAAACTTATCTAACATCCGAAACAAGTAGTCCCAAGAAAGGCTGTCAAATGCTTTCTGGATATCTAGTGATAATAGGATTTCCCTCTGTGAGGATCTGTCCCAATTGGACTGCACAGCTGACAATAGGGCTAGAGTTCGACGAATTTGGTCCGACGTTTGTCGACCGCTTATGAATCCTGACTGGTCATCATGAATAGAGATGAGCGAAGTATTCAAAAATTTGATTCGGCTGATTCGGCGAATCGCGGAATAAATTTGATTCGAATATATTCGCTGCGAATTTAACTTATAAAAAGGGTGTTTCTAGGCTTCAGAGAGCCTTTATATTAGTGCAGAACACTGTACCTTTAATTTAAATGCCCTTGGAGTCTGCTGGGGAAGAGAAATAATACTGTCAGTCAGTATGACATGCAGATGAGTGCCGTCGATCTTAGAATCACCGCACACTTCACTCATTTGGGCAGTCACGGGGCCAAAACCAGAGTGTGGAGCCACAGTGTGGCGGTGGAGGCAGCAGCAATGGGAGGCCATACAGCACCCTATGACAAAATGGAACCCACCAGCAGTGTGAGGAGACCTGAAAGTGGCACATGGCAGAGTGTGGCGATGGAGACAGCAGCAATGGGAGGCCGTACAGGGACCCATGACACACTCTGGACCTGGCAGCAGCATGAGGAGGCGGGTACAGGGGCCCATGACAGATTACGGGCCTGGCAGCAGCATGAGGAGTCGGTACGGGGGCCCATGGCAGATTACGGGCCTGGCAGCAGCAATGGGAGGCCCGTAATCTGCCAGCACCCTATGACAAAATGGAACCCACCAGCAGTGTGAGGAGACCTGAAAGTGGCACATGGCAGAGTGTGGCGATGGAGACAGCAGCAATGGGAGGCCGTACAGGGACCCATGACACACTCTGGACCTGGCAGCAGCATGAGGAGGCGGTACAGGGGCCCATGACAGATTACGGGCCTGGCAGCAGCATGAGGAGTCGGTACGGGGGCCCATGGCAGATTACGGGCCTGGCAGCAGCAATGGGAGGCCCGTAATCTGCCAGCACCCAATGACAAAATGGAACCCACCAGCAGTGTGAGGAGCCCTGAAAGTGGCACATGGCAGAGTGTGGCGATGGGAGACAGCAGCAATGGGAGGCCGTGCAGGGACCCCATGACACACTCTGGACCTGGCAGCAGCATGAGGAGGCGGTACAGGGGCCCATGACAGATTACGGGCCTGGCAGCAGCAGCATGAGGAGTCGGTACGGGGGCCCATGGCAGATTACGGGCCTGGCAGCAGCAATGGGAGGCCCGTAATCTGCCAGCACCCTATGACAAAATGGAACCCACCAGCAGTGTGAGGAGACCTGAAAGGGTGGGCACATGGCAGAGTGTGGCGATGGAGACAGCAGCAATGGGAGGGCCGTACAGGGACCCATGACACACTCTGGACCTGGCAGCAGCATGAGGAGGCGGTACAGGGGCCCATGACAGATTACGGGCCTGGCAGCAGCATGAGGAGTCGGTACGGGGGCCCATGGCAGATTACGGGCCTGGCAGCAGCAATGGGAGGCCCGTAATCTGCCAGCACCCTATGACAAAATGGAACCCACCAGCAGTGTGAGGAGACCTGAAAGTGGCACATGGCAGAATGTGGCGATGGAGACAGCAGCAATGGGAGGCCGTACAGGGACCCATGACACACTCTGGACCTGGCAGCAGCAGCATGAGGAGGCGGGTACAGGGGCCCATGACAGATTACGGGCCTGGCAGCAGCAGCATGAGGAGTCGGTACGGGGGCCCATGGCAGATTACGGGCCTGGCAGCAGCAATGGGAGGCCCGTAATCTGCCAGCACCCTATGACAAAATGGAACCCACCAGCAGTGTGAGAGGAGACCTGAGAGTGGCACATGGCAGAGTGTGGCGATGGAGACAGCAGTAATGGGAGGCCGTACAGGGACCCATGACACACTCTGGACCTGGCAGCAGCATGAGGAGGCGGTACAGGGGCCCATGACAGATTACGGGCCTGGCAGCAGCATGAGGAGTCGGTACGGGGGCCATGGCAGATTACGGGCCTGGCAGCAGCAATGGGAGGCCCGTAATCTGCCAGCACCCTATGACAAAATGGAACCCACCAGCAGTGTGAGGAGACCTGAAAGTGGCACATGGCAGAGTGTGGCGATGGAGACAGCAGCAATGGGAGGCCGTACAGGGACCCATGACACACTCTGGACCTGGCAGCAGCATGGGGAGGCGGTACAGGGGCCCATGACAGATTATGGGCCTGGCAGCAGCAGCATGAGGAGGAGTACGGTACGGGGGCCCATGGCAGATTACGGGCCTGGCAGCAGCAATGGGAGGCCCGTAATCTGCCAGCACCCTATGACAAAATGGAACCCACCAGCAGTGTGAGGAGACCTGAAAGTGGCACATGGCAGAGTGTGGCGATGGAGACAGCAGCAATGGGAGGCCGTACAGGGACCCATGACACACTCTGGACCTGGCAGCAGCATGAGGAGGCGGTACAGGGGCCCATGACAGATTACGGGCCTGGCAGCAGCATGAGGAGTCGGTACGGGGGCCCATGGCAGATTACGGGCCTGGCAGCAGCAATGGGGGCCCGTAATCTGCCAGCACCCTATGACAAAATGGAACCCACCAGCAGTGTGAGGAGACCTGAAAGTGGCACATGGCAGAGTGTGGCGATGGAGACAGCAGCAATGGGAGGCCGTACAGGGACCCATGACACACTCTGGACCTGGCAGCAGCAAGAGGAGGCGGTACAGGGGCCCATGGCAGAGTGGCGAAGCGTAAGCAGCATAAATTGAAGGCCATACAGAGGCCTATGTTAAAAATAATAACATGTTTGGGGCATGATTCATGGCGGATTTAGTCAGTTGTGTCAGGAACTGGTGGTTTGAAATCCAGACTAATCCACGCCTGATTCATTTTCACAAACGTGAGTCTCTCCACACTTTGGGTGGACAGTCGTGTCCTCCGCGGAGTTACAATACCTCCTGCCGCACTAAACACGTGCTCCGATGCCACGCTACTGGCCGGGCATGACAGCCTATCAAGGGCAAATTCAGCTAGTTGGGGTGAGGTCCTGCTCCAGGTCCACCTGATGCTGCTGCTGCTGCGGCTGGTTAGTAGTTTCCTCACTGCGCTGGTGAAGAAAGCTACTCATCATCGACTGCAGACTGAGGCAGCCGCTGCTGGTGGAGCTGCCACTGCTCCTACCACCCCACCCCTCCCCTGCTGCCATGGCAGCGGAACGCGAGCGCACAGGGCCCACAGTGTCTGAGGATGGACGTTGGCGCAGAAAGGCAGAGACCAACTGACTACATAGGTGGTTTTTATAGTAATTTATTTTGGCCCTCCCTCTCAGCAGGTGTGAAAAAGGCCACCATTTTTGAACGGTAGCGAGGGTCCAACAAGGTAGACAGCCAAAAGTCATCCCTCTGTCTGATGGTTATTATTCGGCTGTCGCTACGCAAGCAACCGAGCATGCTATGGGCCATTTGTGCCAAGGAATGCGAGGGACTCCCTGCCTCCATCTCCACAGCATACTGCCACGGTGCGTCTGGGTCCTCTGTCTCCTCCTCCTCCTCTACCAGATGCTCCTGCTCCTCCACTCCTGTCCGCTGAGTGGAAAAAACCACCCATTTCACTCAATAATTCCTGAGCACCAATGTCCTCCTCTACCTCCTCCTCTTCTTCCTGTCCTGCCCCCACAGGGGTCATGTGGCGTTGAGATCTGTGCGCCACGTCTACCGCACCCTGACCAGCCATTGTTAACAGCATTTGTTCCAGGACGTGCAACAGAGGAATGACGTCGTTCATCCCATAGTCCTGCCGACTCACGAATAGCGTGGCCTCCTCAAAGGGCCTGAGCAAGCGGCAGGTGTCACGCATGAGCTGCCAATGGCTGACATCGAAGTTACACAGGGGAGTACCTTTTTATCCGCTTGTAACATCAGGAAATCGGTGATGGCCTTTTGCTGTTCGTAAAGGCGGTCTAACATATGTAGGGTTGAATTCCACCTGTTGCAACGTCGCAGATCAGGCGATGCTGTGGAATTCCGTTCTGCCGCTGCAGCTCAAGGAGGGTGTGCTTTGCGGTGTAGGAATGGCTGAAATGCATGCAAAGTTTACGTGACATTTTAAGGATGTCTTGCAGTGGGATGGTGGATTTTAGGAACCGCTTGACAACCAGATTGAACACGTGAGCTATGCATGGCGCATGGCACAACCTTCCTTGATGCAAAGCAGACACCATGTTCTTTCCGTTGTCGGTCAACATGGTTCCCATTTTCAGTTTGCGCGGAGACAGCATCTGTCGATTTCTCTGTTCATTACACTCAGAAGTTCCTCCCCTGTGTGACTACGTTCGCCAAGGCATACCAGGTGCAGCACAGCGTGACACCGTTGCGCCCTGCACATGTGATATGCCGGTCGGGTAATGGGACTTGGCACGGGGGTGGCGGCTGAGGACACGGCGGAAGAAGAGGTGGTAGAGGCGGACATCTTTGCTGGACCAAGGACGTGCAAACGTGGAGGCAAAAGCAGCGTGACCTGTCCAAGTTGCTGGTGCGGCTGTGCCGGCACCACGTTCACCCAGTGGGCCGTAAATGACATGTACTGTTCCTGACCGTAGTTACAGCTCCACACGTCGGCGCTGCCGTGCACTTTGGCAGAGACCGACATGCTCAAAGACTGGCCCACCATCTCTTCTACATGTGAATGCAGGGCTGGCACTGCCTTTTTTGGCGAAGAAATGCCGGCTTGGTACTCTCCACCACGGCGCGGCACAAGCCATCATTTCTCAGAAAGGTGCTGAGTCCACCACTTGGAAAGGGAGGGACTGCAGCACCAGCAACTTGGACAGGAGGACATTCAGCTTCTTGCACCGTCGGGTGCGTGCTCGCAAACTGTTGTCTCTTGGAAACGGATTCCAAGAAAGACTGCTGACGGAATCCGTGAAGAGGAGTAGCAGGAGAAGGAGCATCTGAACGAGCGGAAGATGCCAACGAGTGACAACTCCCCTCAGCAGAGGTGTTGGGAGCCTTGACTGGCTGATAGAGGGCTATGACGTCGGTGTTTCTTTTCGTTTTTTGTTTTGTGACGGAGCTCTTTTGTGTTTTTTTGTGTTTTTAGTGTAAGGAACGGAGCGGGTGATGGAGCGGGGGCTGGGGCAGGCAGAACCGCCGTATCTTTTATCACGGTTTTTCCCAGGCCACCAAATATGGCGACGCTGCATATGCTGACGCAACGCTGTAGTCCCAACATGGGCCCCCTGGCCACGCTTGACTTTCTGGCCACAATAGTCGACATACGGCTACGTTTACTTCCTCGGGTGGCTTGACGAAAAATTGCCACACCGCCGAGTAGGAAACTTTGCCCCCGCTACTCCTCACTGGCTGACTGCTACTTCCTCCGTGCACACCGGCACCACTACTGGCCGTGGTGGTAGGCTGCAGTGGAGCTGGTGCTCTACTCCGTGGCCGTTTGCCTCTACTGACACTGCTGCGACCATGCTGCATCCTGGGCAACCCACAGACTGTTTTGCTCGCTGCCAAGCTGGCACCCTCTTCTCCTGATGATGCGGAAGCAATAGCGCCTGATGACGACGAGGCTGACCAAGTGCGATCAGCCTCATCATAATCATCAATTAGGGTCTCCGCCTCACTTACTAGCCCCCTCGGCTGCGTGTGGGTCAGGAGGACAGACCTGTCTCTAGACCGGCTACGAGCCACTCTCCTCGCCAGTACTTCTTCGCCTGGCTGCTGAAGAGGCGGATGTCTACCCCCGTTCCTGACCGCCCTCTGTTAGCTCTTCCTCACTGTACAGTGGGGCTGAGCCCACAGCATGCGATACTTCGCTTGGTGAGGGAACACCAAAGGACCAGGGGCAGGGCAGGTAGAGGACACATGATTTCAGTGGGCTTGCTCCGGGCCA